TGTCAGCACACAGATAAGGTGGATTTGCTGGGTCTGTGGTCTGGGATATGCTGGAGGCTGCTGATCTAGGCAGTGATGTGAGGGGTTAACTGGTTAGGCTACAGCTCTGAGCAGGGGGAAGGTGCCTGCACTCGTACACCCATCTAATAGTTTGTACAATTTATTCTGAAAGATCCATTTAAGAACAGACTCACAGGAGAGTGGAAGCAATTAGAGTCACCGTTAACCCACTCAGCATTCGGTAGATTTGCTTTATTAGCATGGAACCAACAGTGCAATGCTTCTGTGGGCAATGCCATAAAACAAGTACAAAACAGCTGTAACTTGAGGGGGGGCAGGAAAGTGGGTAGGAGCTACTCCAAGGAAAGACAAGAGTCAAATGGTGATAGCATAAGCATCACAGCCAGGAGCCAGGCCTCCACACCCCTGGCTAGCCGATGGCCACAGCACAGGGGAGAGAGCACATCCAGCCCTGAACTCACCTTCTTTCTGCTTTCTCCACTGAAACTCCAGCACCACGTCATCATGTCCCACAAAAGTGTGGACAGGCGTGTTCAAGTCAAAGACGTTCCAGAGAAGGAGACTGTTCTCTCGCCGGAGCTGAGGGACCATCACTGTCACCAGACCATTGCTGAAAGGCTTAAGAGAGAAACACCCTTCCAGTTAGCCTCAGGGAATTATGCTCCCATGCTGTTGTTACCATACTTTAATTTTTCCCTTTTCCCACCAACAAGAATGCATGGGTTTTAAAGGAGCTCAGCACAAAACAGAACCAGGTAATTGCTGTGCAAAACCAGGGTCTTACAAGGGATAACATGTAGTACACTGAGATATTCAATGCAGCTCACTTAAGATTAATAATTTCTTTCTGCTGCTTCCTCACTTTCCAGCTGTGAGGCTGGAGGGATTTCACCCTTGACTTTTCACATGGGATCCTTATGGCAATTTGCCTGGAGCTGCAAGAACTGCTGCCTGGGGACTGAGCCCCAGCAGCTGTTCAGGGTCATGATGCTCAGAGGAACACTGGAACCCAGTCCTACATCCCCCACCATGGGGACTGGGAAAGGGGATCAAAGACTCAAGACACAGCACTGACTTCAGGCCACATTCAGATCTCTGGGGAAGAGAACGGATATGGCTGATGTTAAGAGCCTTAGCTTCACGTGGCTGGGTGCTTGCTCTATAAAAGGCAACAGTTCTTGGATTTGATATGCTGGAAGAGCCCACTGTGGCACACTTGGAAACCTTGGGGATAGACAAGGCACTTGGAGAGGGCAGAAGACCGCTGCAGTGCTCTGTGCAACAGGTACCAACACTGCACTGAGTGGAAAAACAGGACAGCAAGAGCAGCAGCCACTTTCTGAGCCTCCTGCCCCCAGAGCCAACCACCTGCACCTGGGTTTTCCCCTCCAGGAGGACAACACCAAAGACTGGGATCTCACACTACTAGTCATTCCTTTTCCCAAGTGCCACCCTTGCGGACATTGCTCTTCTAGGCCTTTTAAGCACCAAGAGGGATTTTTAAAGTCAACTTAATGATGTCCAGCAGTAGAATTAGTGAGAAGCCCTTCAGCAGCTCTTCTTTATCTAACGTCTCTTTGTGCATTCACTCTCACAGCACAAGTGGGGCTGGTGGGAGTTTCTCACTCACTGTGTATCTTGCCTTCCAGACGGGAACCTGGCAGGGAAGGATATTGAGGTATTTCCGAGGCTGACGGTAATCCCAGAACTTCAAAAAAAACCAAAAAGACAAGCAAAGGCAGGAGTCAGCTGGCTATACTTTCAGGCTGCAGTTTTCCATGTGGCTTGTAGATGTAACAGAGTGAAAAACATGCCAGGGTGCCCACAGCATCATTAGTAATCCCATTCATTAACAGCAGAGATGGCCCCAAAGGACAAATATCAAGCTATCAGCATCTGGCAGCATCCCTTAGACAATGAGTGACTTGGGGTCATATTCACAGTGATCATAGCTTGAGCAATTAGAGCAGGGAAACAGGCAGCCTGCTTGGGCTTTCAGCGCTACAAGGTACCCTGCAGGCTCCCAGCCAATGTGCCAGTCCAGACTGGAGGCAGGCCCACCCTGCTGTTACTGCTAATTTTGTAATGAAGAATCTAACCTTTTGCTTTGCTAGAATACACATCGATTGCATTTGCCTTAGACTTTAGCTAAATGTGAATTAACTCCATTTGGCTGACACACAAAGAACACTATTTCCCCCTAAAGTAAAAGGCCCTGCATAGCAATGCTTGCAGGCGGTCTCTTATTGATAACCCAATTCAACATGAGTTTGGGAACCCCAGGGGCTGGAGTATGTCTCCCCCCAAGCTCTGTAATCGTCTCGAGGCTGGCAACACTGCATTTTGGGAAGAAGGCTCTTCTGGCATTTGTGGCCAGCTCCCTTCTAGCAAGGAACTGGCAGAGGCAGTTGTTTTCAGCTTCAGTACTGCCCAAACCACCACAGATATAGGGCAAACATATGTGCACCCATCCTGCAAGGACTTCTCCGCCTGTTCTGTAAGTGCACTCCTGGCTCAGCACACACAGACTGCCAGAAACCAAAAAACAAGGATCCAGATCTTGCCAACGGCGAGCACTCCACAAGACTTCAGCAGTAGTAGAAGGCGATCTGCTCTACCATCCTGACATCTCCCAAGCAGGAGTCCCAGAAGCAACACTTACCCTGACAGAGTTGTCCTGGCTGGAAGTGGCCAACGTATACTCATTGTCAGGATGCCAATCCAGACCGTGGATTTTAGAGAGATGAGCTGCCAAGTACTCTACTGCAGTGCTGGGTTTCTGCAAGGAGAGACACTTTCCTTCTCAGCACAGGACTCCTGAAATTTGCTCTAGTTCTTTGTTGTAAAAAGAGACACTTTAACAAAGGCAAGAGGTAGAACACCCTCCTGCTGGGGAAAGGCAAACAGCTCAGCAAAAGCAGTTGAAGGAAAGATCCTGTGAAGGTGTGGCAAATTCTAGTCACCAAGCGCAGCCCTGAACCATACTTTACACTCAGTAAAACAGTTAAGTACTATGAGATCAAAAGCAAAACGTTAATGGGCACAGTTTCTGGGGAAGGAGGCTATCTACCTGCTCTCTTCAGGCTCACAGGCTCCCAATTCTCTCTAGTTTAAATCAACACACAAGAGATTTGGTATAAAGTAGTACATTTTTCCTCGGTATTTATCTGTGACCAAAGGGATGTCTGTATTGGCTAAGTGGGAATATGCACAGGCTGCTCAAAAGACCCCCAACTTACCCTTTTGTCCCATATTCGGACATCCCCATCGTGGCTTGTTGCTAAACAGTTGGCATTTTTCTTGTTCCATTTAACCTGGGAAGCTCCAGCTGTAGCACAAACAGAGCAGGTCAAAACAAGCAATTAAAAAGTAAATGGCACAGTAGACCCTTGACCTGGGCTTAGAGCTGCTCTTCTTAGCACAGGAAAGGCAGTTCAGAGGAAAGATCTCTCAGAAGCCAGCATGAAGGATGGCATGAAATACACTAACTCCTGATTCCTCAGCTTTGTGTTTGTGTCCTGAAGACCTCAAAGCAAGGGTGTTCCAGTTACAAGCTTAGAGATCTTCATCACAATTTCTAGCCATGGGTTGTACCTGATTAAAATACACAGGTCCATTACCTCAGATGGAGCAACTTCCTCCAGACAAGAACGTAGGTTCATCACCCCACTCCCAAATCCTTCTGTTTTCATTCAAGCTACTTCCAGGTGCTCAAGGATCGATTCATTTGTCTCCCCAACACCCTCTACACTATCTGATGCTATACAGGGAATCAGTGTTATTGATCTATTATTAAGATAGAGGCATAGGAGAAGGCTGCAGTGCAGGTGGACCTTGTGTCTGGCCAGCTGGAGGTAGACTCACTGGCTGAATCAGAAGGTCCAACTGTCAAAATACACCACAGAAGTCAAAGACATCAATGGCATTGTAAAGAAACTGGATGATGGTCCAGATATGATTATATGATATCAGGAGGGACTCAGTCAAGGGCCTAAAACCATCAGTTGGTTGATTATTTCTAACAAGAAGCAAAATACAGCTTCAGTTGATGTGGACTGTTCAGATATTGTAAGATATTCTTATTCTGCCAGTATTTTCAAAACATTTTAGACTATCAGAAAGGTGGGTCCATGCAAAAGCTAAACGGATCTCAGCCTGCTGCCGTGTCCCACCTTCACTACCCACCTCTTGCTGCATGGTGAGCAGATTCATCCTGACAGCATGGCAAAAAGCTAGTCCAGGACGAAAAAAGCTGCAAATAGGCTGCCACTTGATTGAATTGATCCACTCACTGAAGGGGTACACAAAAGTCTGGACCAGCACTAAACAGAATCAGGCATGGAAGGAAGGAAGCTTTCTGGGGAGCTAGCTGCTGGGCTGGCTCAGCTGACCCATGAAACCTCACCCCAGGCACCACAACTGAACGCTGCTTCTGATTCACTAAGATTTTTGCATCGCTGTGATAGAGAGGTTTGCTGGCTGGGAGGAAAGGGGGAGCCACTGCAGATATGTAGCCTAAGGAGATCTAAGCAGCAGAGCATAAGAGATGTGCGTTATGAGGATTACTGTAATACTGGGGACAGTAACTCAGGAAAAGGACGTTTTGCTTATCATCCATACTTCACCCAGTTCCAACATGCAGCCGGTGAGGACTGACACACAGCACCTGCCAGCAGGCAGCATTACAGGCGGCTGGACAGTTGCACTGCCAACAGCCATGACAAGTGCCTTTCCAGAGCAAGCACAACCCAAAGAGAGCACCTTCTTGTCACCGCTGCAGCTGCCTGCACATTGAAGGTGCCCCAGGGAAGCAGATGCAGCCAGTTAATTTACCCAGCCCCTCAGTAAGTAAGGGGGCAGGCTGACAGTTGGCAGCATTCAACACCACTGCCTGGGGTGTGATTTAGTTTCTCAGCTGATTCAATCAAATATAAAAGGACATGGAAAAACTGCAGACAGACAACACAGGACAAGCAGTGCAAGAGGGTGGTTTAGCAGAGAACTACTGTAAGCTACTTAAGTCTAGAAGGCACAAGTGCCATGTGACTGTCCACCAATTTCAGGACAGACAGCCCAAGCACCACCACTGCCCTCTGTGCCTGGGAACCTCCAAGGGCTCCACATCTTTTCTGCATTCTGCTCCTCTAAAAGGAGCTGTGAACTAGAGCCTCTTAGGGGCAATCACACATGGTGGCACTTCTGTACTCTGCCACGTTCAGCCTCGGAGCACAAAGGGAGGGAAGAATAACAGCATGACCATACAACAATAGGCTTGTGTAATGCCTACATCACACATGTGTCACACTTACCGACTGCAGAGAGGGAGACTGTAGGCTTCCTGGTGTCTCTGAAACACAACATGGCTAATGTGAGCACCCACAGCATAGCCCAGCAGGTCCAGCCTCCCCAGTGAGCTCCTTGCTATTCCAGGACTAATTTTATTGCTGCCTCTTGGGAGCTAACGTGCCTTCTGCTTACCAAAACACCACATTAAAAGGAATAAAGAAAGAGGTGACCAGCTGGAGACCAACAGCCATTCTGGCTGTTTAGCGAGTTTAGGGCATAGGATGGAGTTGAAGGGGACTAGAGGGAGGAAAAACACGTGCAAAGTGTGGCATGTTGCAACTGGGCAGGCAAGGAAACACTGGGCTCACAAAGTGTTGCTGCAGGAAGCAACAAAACAGCCTTTCCCAGGAGGATTAAAAGGAACAAACAGAGCTGTGGAAAAACTCAACAAAAGCCACTGATGTGTTTGTCAAGCCTTTGCAGACCCTGATTCAAGGCAGATGGAACAGTGACTTCAGAGCAAAGACTTCATGTCTAGCATATAACAACAAAATTAGTAGGAAATAAGCCCAGCTGTGTGCAGACTATACAGACCAAATTCTGCGGTGGTAGAAGCCAGTGCGGCACCATGACAACTCCTAGCAGCCACAACATGGATCAAGGCAATAATTTACTGTTTGACCTTGCTCCTCAGGAAGTCACCTGCCCTTTCATGAAAAATGCCAGTGAAAATGAGGAATATTGTCTTCAGCTTTTTGTGTTTGCTGAAAAGCAGAACATTTCCTGGAATAGACTGCACCTCCTCCTCTAAGAATTTCTGCCTAAACAAAAAGTTATTTTGTATGAAAAATTAAGAGGAATTTCCAGCTACCCTTACCACAGGGCTATCTCCCTAGGGTGTCATTAGAAACAGCCGCTTCAGCAGGATGTTCATTGGCTGGAGGCCAGCAGCCCCAGGACCTCACTGCCCCACCAAGTGCAGAGACCTTACAAGCACAAGTGGGATGTAGAGGCTAGTCAGAAACTGCCTAAGCAAGCACTTCTGTACAAGTGATACATGCAGACACAAAATGATGGAAGGGCACAACAGACTTAAAGCAGGGCTTCTGATAACAACCTCCAGAGGTTTTTTTTGCTTGGCACTAAGATAGTATCACAGGAAAACACAACCAGCAGTTATTGTCTCTCTCTGTCTTTTAATTACACATTAATAATATATTGCCATTCTCAAGCACCATTTAACCAAGGATCTAAGTGCTTCATAGGAGCTAAACAAGCCTCAGGGTAGCCTGGTGCAGTAGGGTTATATAATTATCCTCCTATTATAACTGAGCAAGGGATGCAGAGAGGAACAAAGCGACTTGCCGGGGGTCATAAAGGGTTGCTGCACAGCCAGCAAGAGAACCCAGTAGTTCTAGTGCCAGGTTCTTGCTTCTCAGGTGTAAAACGTGGGGTTATAATATTAGTGGGTTTGGAAAGATCCGTTACCCTGAAATGACTCATGATAGAAAGCACCAGGAAGCAAAGGAAGGCACGAACAGGAAAAGGTTCCTGAATACCACTGCCAGTCTTCCCATCTCTGAGGGAACAGCCAGCAACAATCACTGAATTTAGTGGAAAATGGCTGCAGGATCATGAAACAGTGCTGATTCACTCAGCTAAAAAACCCAACAGGTTGAGGAACACCCTTGGGCTCCAGGAAAAGCTCCCAAGGAAAGATCTGAAGTGGACAGGGAGTGAAGCCAGTTGGTATTTTTTCCAATCAGGAGCACAGCTGTGGCTTAACCATACCACTCTACTGCCCTTTGTTGACTCTGACCTGACTTGAAAGTAGGGGAACAGAAGTCATCTTTGAGATTATGGGAAGCAGATGAAGCCCCTGCAAGCACAGCTGAAGAGCAGCACCCATCAGTGCGTGCTTTGCCCTGCAAGCTGCTGCTAATTATGGAAAGAAGTCCAATGATTTCCCTGCAGTGCAGAAACATACTGATTCTTACTTGATGTCCCAGATGTAGATGTATGTGTCAACAGAACTGGTGACCAGCAGGTCTGGCTCAAACACTGCCCAGTCCAAGTCGCTGCAAATGCAAAATCATAGTAGGTCAGCAAAGAAAAGTGCACACAGTTTGCATCAGCTTCTCACAAGCCCCCAGTACATTTCTCCGACAAATTCATGGCCAGTCCATGACATCTACTGAGACTTTTTAAGTAAAAAGCAAGATCTTAATCATTTCCTTAAGTAAAGTCCAAGAAGCAATGAAATCCTTCTAAGTAAATTCCCATGAAGCATCCTCCTAGCCCTGAACTTTAGAGCTATTGTGCGTGTGCTCTTTCCTCCACAGGAAAGGGACACTGTCTCAGCGAGTTCCCAGTTACCATGCATTCTTGGCATCAACCCCTCACTCTGGGATGCCTTCCTGTTGGGCTCACCAGGTGCACCTGGGACACAACCTCCAGTCAGCCATTTCAAGGGCTGCAATTACTTTCCACAGTCAGGAGCTGGAGTAAAAACAGTCCTTCACCTGCATTTCCAGCCCAGCACTAAAATACACCCCTAGAACCAGAGGCAGAAGTCTCCCCTACACCACCATAACACACTGTGAACTTGATCTTTGGGACTACCTGCTTTAATTAAGCTGCTATCACACAGAAACACAGCTGGGATTCAATTTAACAAACATGCTGCTATCTGTTTCCCAGATGATGGTTGCTGTTCATTACAAGGACAGCAGCCTAAGGCAATGACAGTTGAGCCGTCAAAGGCTAAGTTGATATACTGGGGGGAGCCATGAGAGGGTAAGCAGCTTCACACCTGACATCACCTCCAAATGGGAAGGCAGGACAGAGGGGCAGACAGTACAGTCCAGAAAAGTAAGTAAAACCAGGCTCAGAGCAGAGCCTGACCAGGGCCAGGACTGAAACATACACCTTCTATGAAACAGCCCATTGTTTTCCACCCAGCAGCATGCAGCATTGCTTGCTCCTCACCTGATCACACGTGTGTGTCCTTGCAGCGATGTGCAAACTTCACCATTACCTTCCTTCCACTTATATAGGTCAACTCGCTGGTTGCTCTGAAATTAGACGGAAGAAAGGAGACAGTGTCAGGTGAACAAGGTAGGACAGGAATCCATGTGTCAGGACCAGGTTCCCTTCTCTTCGAACAGCCTCAGTTACCAATGAGTCACACTGTTTAGCAAAGTCCTTGCCCAAAGCAGGAGAGCAAAGATGTACCTACAGGCTGCAAGGACTCTCAAAAACTTACACTTTAATTACAGCCACTTAAAAATGGAGATAAACAAGAAGGGGGGACAGGACAGGAAATTACATTGCAAAATCTTTCCATGAAATTATGTTCTCAGAGCTTGTATTTCCTAACAACATGCTGTAACTGCAGGCAACAGGCAGCCAAATTCTCTCTGCAGGAATACCCTGCCAGTCTGTTCAGATTCACAACTGGAGTTTTCAGTGAGGGGGATGATGGATCACCACTGGTCCTCCTCAACTCTCCCTCAATTCCCTTCTGGGAATGCCCTTCAGGGCCATTGCCAGACACGAACAATACAGTCTAATGGCTTCAAGGTCACCTCCTCAAGGCTAGTTCCATCCTTGCCAGCCCAGGAAAAAAAAGCCTTAAGTGCTTATCACTAACTGTAAACCACAGGAGCAAACCAGATGAATCAGTGACAACATTATTTAGGACTTCTTCAATCACTCCAGGAATAAATCCCCCCCAAAATGCAGACACATAATTACTTGAAACTAGTTATTGTGCTATAAGTTCACGTTCTGCCTCAAACAAGGTTCACTTCAGCCCACACCAACTCTAATCTTTCTGGGGCAGGAATTGCCTTTTTGGGTGCATATATAGCACCAAGCACAGTGGGTTTTGGGCCATGACCAGAAATTCTTGTTGATTTTGCAAAAATAGAAATAACATGACTTCAAAATTTGATCTTCATTAGCCCCTTGTTTTCAAACTTACAGGTAGATGAGGGAAAAGGTAATGGAGAAAAGACTTATTTTGCATTTTTTGTGACAGGTTTTTGTGGTGCTGGTTTGTTTTGTTTTACCCCAAAGCTGCTTGATATGAATTTGAACTTGCAGATGGAAAAACACTCCAGCCTTCCCTGAAATGGAAGGTCTCCTCCCAGCCCAGCAATAATACATGGCATTTCTCTAATAGCTCACAGCAGGGCTGCACAAGAGCTTGGGGCAAGGAAAACTCCTTGCATGTTTCTTATTGACAGAAGGATTTAAGGGGGTAGAGTGAAATTACCCAATGGGATTTGTCCAGGACTCCAAAGTCGATGCTACAAGATCAGGATCACCTGATCACTCAGACTCTTAGTGGGTCATCTCACATGGGAAGTGTTGCCTGTAGCACCAGGTGTGAGAGAATGACAGCTCCTCCCAGCATGATTTTCTAAAAAATGTGCTTCTTGTGATAAGTATCAGTACACGCTTCCAACAATTTCATCACCCTCTCGTTCAAGCATTTGTGACCACACAAAAGAAATAACAAGGATCAAGGATGGAAAACAATGGCATTTCTGAAACAACAGCTTAGGAGTCCTCAGAAATGTGCTTGAGCCAGAGGGAAGACACAGACAAGCACAGCAAGAGGACATGTTTCAGCTCTTCTGGAAAAAAGCTAAAAAAATAAGAAGCCCTTATCCAAACACAAGGACAGGCTTCCCCTCTGCCTGCACCACTTCCAGTTAACGGCAGTGCAAACCAGGTGAAGCTTCTGGCAGACAGGATGGTAGCCTTTTACGCTCCCTTTCCATCCACAGGGATGCAGCAGGATAGGACTCTCAGGGCTGTCTACAACACTTGCATGGTATACCTGAACATATGATGACCTCAGCAGTGGACTCATGGGGGACTGACAGCCAGTTTAAGTCCAGATGTAGCAAATCACATCTTCACAGTGCTGAATCCAAGCTGATTCAACCTTCCCAATGCATCTTTGCCCCCTTAGGTATGGCCCTCAAACACATCCACATTGCCTCCAGATCTGACCTGGGACACACAGACCTGAGCATACGCTGTAAATCTGTTTTCCACTTCTAAAGAAGACAGGCTAAATTCTAGTCCTAGGACAGGGCTGTACTGCATCAGCACCAAAATGCCAGCCAACTGTGAGATGGCTCAAAAGGAGGTGTTTCTGACTGGAAAAGCTGCCTGTCATGGTTTAACTCCAGTCAGCACCTAAGCACCACACAGCTGCTTGCTCACCCTCCCCGCCCCAGTGAGATGGTGGAAAGAATCGGAAAAAAACCCAAAAAAGTAAAATCCATGGGTTGAGATAAAGGCATAATAGGACAGCAGAGGAAGAAAAAGTAATAATAATAATGCTAAAAGAATATACAAAACAAACAATGCACAATGCAATTGCTTGCCACCCACTGACCAATGCCCAGACAGTCCCCAAGCAGCGAGCGCTGCCCCCCAGTCAACGCCCCCCCGTTTATATACTGAGCATGGTGTCATATGTTATGGAATAGCCCTTTGGGTCGGCTGTCCTGGCTGTGCCCTCTCCCAGCTTCCTGTGCACCTGGCAGAGCATGGGAGGCTAAAAAGTCCTTGACTAGTATAAACACTACTTAGCAACAACTAAAACATCAGTGTGTTATCAACATTATTCTCATACTAAATCCAAAACACAGCCCTATGTCAGCTACTAGGAAGAAAGTTAACTCTATCCCAGCTGAAACCAGGACACTGCCCAATCTCATCTTGGGGATTCCTCACCTGATGTGTGTCAGCAACTACATCTAAATTACCATAGCATCTTAGCATGTTCATTTATAAGTGGGAGCAGCAAGGTTTGATGTCAGCTACACCTTCTTTCAGTCTGGAACAAGATGGGTTCCTGTTGTCTGCTCAGGGCATCAAGAGATGGGAGTACTCAGATGGGCGAGATGGGCACAGCTCCCCTTTGCAGCAGGGTCCTGCTCAGATCAGCATTAACCGATCACTGGATATTGCCTTCAGAGTGTGTTTGAAAAGAAGCTCTCCTGCTCTACTCGTGGCCTGCACAGCACATTTCCTTACTTGGTTTTCATTTTCACAGACTGTATCCAGAAGTGGCACTGAAGGACACATTTTTGCAAATTTTACTAACACTCCACTCCGAAGCAGACAGCTGCTGAAGGCACCTTTAAGGTGTCAGTCATGTACCAGAGCTGGGAGGAGACAGGTTGGGGAATGTCAGAGAGCAAACAAGCAAAGGCTCCTAACTGGCAACACTGGTCCACTTTTAAGACTGCCTTTAATTTCAATCATAGCCAGGCCAGGAAGCAAAAGGAACAAAAATCCCAGGAAACCATCATCAGTTAAGTGTTTTCTCAAAAAAATAGATGAAACCTCTCTAACCCCAGCTATTCCGGACTCTCAGGCTATAAAAGCAGATGCAACATGGCAGCAAAGGCACCTCACCATGAGCACAGTCTGCGCCGGCCTAGTGCCAGTTGCTGCAGCGGTGTGGTTGATGGCTAAAACTGCTGCTAGCAGAAGTTCAGGGCTCTGGATGAACAAGCTACAGAGCGTGATAGACCAAGTAAAGATCAGCACTAAAAGCTGCACTCAAGTCTCAGATGGCCGCTACTGCTTCTTCAGACCAGCCTATTTACTTCTCCACACACCAAATAAGAACTCTTCGCTGACTCGGTCCCTGCCTGTCTGCAAACCTAGATTGTTACAGTGGTGAGCCAGTATTGGCTTGTGCTATTTACAGACTGCTTGGTGCACCACATCCCACCAGGAAGGCAGGGAGGTGAAAAAAAAAAACAGCACAGAGCAAAAAATTCAATAAGTGCGCAAATCTCATAACAGAATGGAAGTTAGAAAGACAGCACATCCCCCCTTTCTTCCAGAAAAGGACCATTTGGATGCCCGATTAATTTGGCAAGGTGCTTTATAAAAGACAAGCAAGCAAAACTAGATTCAACACTGACCGACCATCTGAGAACCATCAAGCCATCAACTGAGAGCCATCAAGCCAAATAGCTCCCTGGCAGTAAATCGGAGGTAGGTCTTGATCTTGCAATGTGACTTGCAGGAGCATGCCTGTGCCAGCTCCATACAGCCTTCCAAGTCTGCAGAAGTCCACCTATGAAAGACCAGGAAAGATGATGAGCTACAGCTTTTAAATGAGTGAACTTACCGACGCTGCAAAGTAGTACGCGTAGCTGTCGTGTGGGTTCCACTGCACAGCCCCGATGTCCCACTTGCTCTGTCGGGAGATCTTTCGATGACCCTCATTTGGTGCATCCAGGTTGACTATGTAGAGGAAACGGCGGCTGCAAGACACACAGATACAAAGAGGCTGTATCGCACAGGACTGATCTCAAAACCCCAAGCTCACATGGAGCTCACAGCCTTGTGCCTAGAGGACCAAAGAAGAGAAGCATTTGACAAGACAGATGAAAATACTGTTCCCAAGAATGCTACATTTGACCACGTACTTCAAAAAGGGCTACATTTAAAAAAAAAAATTAAAAGACACACTGAAATTAGACATGATTTGCAAATGTAATGGATAGCTCAGACCACAGAAAACCCCAGATAACTAGGATACAAAAGGAAGTGCTGGAAAATGATGCAAACACATCCAAATATGCTTTGCTGGTCTAATGCAGCAGCAGCAGAGCCGAGGTGGCACAGGGCTGGGAGCGCAATGCAACAGCTTTCACAGTAGCCAGCATCAGTCTAGAGAGGTTGCTCTGAGCAAGACTAAATGAGCCTTGACAAACATAAGATGATTCTACATGGCTGTGTGTTTCCACACCACACTGTTTGGGATGCTTGGTTCCATAGACAGTACAAGCACACCTGCACAGAGCTAGCTCAGCTGCAGCAGCATATTAATGTGGGTGGACACAGCACTGCACTGATCCAGTTATATTATTTACCTGAGCTAACCCTATATGCTGCAGAGATATATTTGCATGACGCTAAACCCGAGCTCATACATCCTGCTGGATGTGGCCAACTCCCCACAAAGCTAGGCAAGGTATCATTCCCTCCACAGTGTGATTCATCTTACAAGCCAGATAAACCGCCCAGAAATACTTGTGAGCCAGCTGAACTCTAATGGAGGACCAGCACCAAAACATAGTGAACCATATATAATTAACCATGCCAGCATAACATACGTCAGCTGCGTAGCAAGCATAAGCTACTCTGAGCACTGTGAATTTTCTCAAGAGAAGGAACACAAAGGACATCAGAAAAGATGCTGAGTGCTCTGAGGCTCTCACACAGCTTTAAAAGAAAGGAGGCAAACCCTGAAGGGCTGCCAAGCATGCAGGAGAAGCCTGAAAAGCAGAGGGCCATGGACCCAGTGTTGAATGGCAGACAGGCTATCCCCAGCTCACTGTTGGCCCAAATAAGCAAGCTGTGAAACTGGGCAGGTGTAAGAAGGAAGAGGCATCAAGTTAGACCCAAACCAGCTGCTGAGCCGGTTATTCCTGCGCAGTGCTGCCAGACTAAGGGTTTACATGGAAGCAAGGGGGCCTCTGAGTTGTACCAAAGGACCTGTTTCCTCTAAGGCTGACCAAAGGTCAGCTGCACCCACAGGATCCTGAATTTGAAGTGAACATCCTAATTGGTGTGGTAATTGTGTCACTGACAGCAGGACAGGAATAGCTGTTAGTACTGAAAGGCAGCAGCTGGGCAGGCAACTGCTGAACTGCTTGAAGGCTTGCCCTGGAGGTGGCTACATAATGCAAAGCCCTCCTGGGAGCTTTGGCAGCTTGGAGTCTATGGCACCTACTGCTCTTGTTGAGTATCATCCTGCACTGAACCAGCAGAGGAGCAGGTCAGAGAGCTTGACTCCTCTGCCCAAATACACCACGGCAACATTTGGGGCAAATTTTGTCTTAAGGAAATGATTTAATCTGTTACTTCAAGCAGAACCTAAACAGTACTTCATGATGCTCCACCTCCTACTAGTGGATTTAGGAAAGCGTGTAGATCAGGAAAGACAGTATTTTATTGTGCTGTTGTCGCTGGCTTTCCACTCCATATCCCATTGGAAATGTGACCCAGAATCCTTTTAATCAAGCCTTGAATAGAATTCAGCTGCACCTTTCTGAAACAATACATCAGCCCTTCAGTTGAGGTCAGTCTGAAGGCTGCTGATTTGGCTTGTGAAAATGACTGTCATACATTTCTAATGGGGACTGTCACACTCACCCCGAGAGTACTGCATGCTGTCCCAGGCAATCCACTGACATCGCAGTTGCCTGTTAAAGAGAAACAGAGAACAAAACTAAATTATACCTGTCAGGTCAGCTTCTCAGTCAAACACACAGCTTTGGGGAGGAGTTCAGGAAAAGCTGCCAGCTCATCTTCAAGACTTAAACTGCTATGGTAGAGTCAAGGCTGATATCTGTCAGGGATGGCAGAAGTAACACCCCCTTAAAGAACCACAGATGGGTGACAGGGTGTAGCAGTTGATTTTGGGGTGCAGGATAGCACACAGAAAACATCTTTGTTAGAGTAAACTGAAGACAAGACCTGGCAGACACCATTACAGGCACTGAGACCTTGCTCCCTTCTCCCTGCTATGGCAATCACAGCTGCAGCCTTTCAATCAGCAATTTCTAATAGTCCATATTAATCAGCCTTTGCTCCTGCTCAGGATGTTTCTCAGTCTCTCTCTCTTCCATTGCGGGGCCAAATTTAATTATATATGTACTGGGAGATAGAAGTGCAACCATTTGTGTATGGCTGGTCTCCAAAAATGAGAGATGGCTAAGAGGCATCAGAATTTACTTTGGCATTGCTTGTAAAGAAGGCTAAGAGCTAACTCAAATGCCGTAAGAAGAAAAAAAGAAAAGACTGTTTGAACATTGTCTTCCCCTCTTCTCGTTCAGAATGGAACTGGCTGATCATCTCATTTAATTGCCAAGAGAATAAAGGAAAATTTTACTTGGAAAGCTGAATGGTTCAGCCCATAAACATAGATATGACTTCAATGCAGTTTTTAGCATCCACAGTACAGAATCAGAATATGCCCCATATTCTTCAAACTGCTGTCATCTGCAAAGCTACCTCTCTGAAGGCTCAGGATGTCTCTGCTGCTGTTCAGGATCCTGCTAAATACTCTCAGTGTGGATGTAACAAGACTTCAGGATGTCCCACAGCTACTACTTACAAGCATCACTAAAAACAGACAATATGGCAATCCCTCTCCATTTCAATCAGATTTGACAGGAGAATAACCATCACAAAAACCTATCTTTTTCAACCAGGGCCCCATTCCCTGCTTGCACGTACCCCAGCTAAGGGAAAAACAGTATCACAGGCTCATTTTTCACTAGACACCAAGAGTCCACATGGGAAAGAGCTACAAACACCACAGCCAGGAGGAGAGTTTCAGCAGG